GCTGCCGACCACAGTGAAAGAGCAGGGGAGGAGGCTGGAAGATTCTGGATGCCCCCCCCTTCTACAAGCTGGGTCACGGTGCTCCCTGGAGCCCCGATGAGACCTTCCTACTTCTCCAACAGGGTAAGACTGGGGAGCTCCCAGGGGACAGGCCCCTCCCTCAGCTGGACTAACTTAGAGAGACTGAGCCACAACCCAACAGTGGAGAGCACTGAGGAGCACTGGATTCAGGTCTTACCTCTTTCAACCTAAACCTCCCCCCCCCCACTTCTATCAGTTACTCATTTAGACACAGGAACAATGGATAATATAGCTTCTGGCAAAAGGAGGCCCAAAAGGGATTAATCAGAATGTTCAGCAAAGATTCTTGTCTCAACAGGTTGACTGGGTTTAGGGGTTAATTTATTGTCTACTGAGGGATCTACAAGTACTTTGCTTTCTGTGGTGGAGGAGATAACTACTATACCCTGACAAAAATATGACCTTAGATGGAGAGGTCTGGATAAGCCCTCAAATCGTCTGTAAACAAGGATGGACAGGATCGGGAACAGAGGGTTCAGCCATGTCACCTTCCACGTTAGTAAATAACGGAGGCTCCACAGCTGTCAGAGAGAGTCCTGAGGTGTGCACAGGGGCCTTGTGAGCTGTAGTCTTCTCTTGGGCAGAGGGCAATTACCTTTTGGGGCAACACACTTGGCTGAAGAGAGGTGGTGTTCAAATCAAGTCTGTTGTATTGCGTTTTCAAGGATAGTTGTAGAACATCTGCCCTCAGGGCTTGTCGAAGATCCAGCACTAGATTGTAGATTCTGCAAAGATATCTTTAAATTTTCCAAAGTTGAAGAGATCTTCCAATGTTCCCTCCTCCGGACACGTTCCAGCTTGTCTATATCCTTCTTAAACTGTGGTGCCCAAAACTGAACACAATATTCTAGGTGAGGTCTGACCAGAGCAGAGTATATTTCTGTATGTTCTGTTGATACAGCCCAAAAGTGTCCCCCTTCTTGATAGTGAGTCAGGACTCAGGGTGGAAAGGAGCAGATGAACAGAAGCCCCAAGGTCCCAACTGTGTCTTGCCAAAGAAGAGAAGAGAAGAGATTGGACTTATACCCCAAAGTGTAACCATCCCTTCCTTTAAAAAAATCTGCCTTGAACTAGAACCAAGCTGAGACTCCGCCAAGACATGCCAGTATACGTATCCTTCTTGTCATAGCCAGAGGCAGCCGTGAGCCCAGGAACATCGTGTGCCCAGACTGCCTGGCATTAGTGAGGCAACAGGCACACAAAGCATCCCTTCCTTGCAAGGCCATCGGAGAAAAGAGCTTAGCAGGCTAATGAAGCTTAACGCATTCAACCAATTTGCTCAAAATGATTTTTTTACTGGACTACAATTTCCTCCCTCTAGTTGCTGTAGACCAGGTGTGACCAGACTTACTTAATGTAAGAGCCACACAGAATAAGCATCAGATGTTTGAGAGCCACAAGACATGAACAAATATTATGCACAGGGTTTTATTGAAAAATAGGCAGATCTGCCGTTTATTAACATTAAATGAGACTGCCAAAAACAAAAACAAAAGGGGTAAAAACAGATATTTGTTTGTCCAATGATGTTTATTCGTTTGCTAGTGCTATTTATTTGTCTAAGAGAGAGAGAGAGAGAATGCATTTAAAGTTGCTTTCTTTCTCTGCTCCCCCCCCCCCATCTCCCACCTACCCAGGGAGGGGAACACTGGCTGGGGAAGGGAAAACCAATCAGGGAGGCCGGCCTCCCCTTCGCTTCCCCAGCCGCACTGTGTGAAAGAGCCGCAGTTTGGCCACCCCTGCTGTAGACTCAATACTAAACGGGGCTGGGATGGTTAGAGAGCTCTGTAGTAACGTATGGGCTAGAATGGACACAACCGTCTCCTAAAATTAGTCTAGCCACGTGGGGCCAATGGGAACTTCTGCATGGCCATAATGTCTGGCAATTTATAGAGGCTAGGTCTGTAAAAGTTTAACAGGCTACTCAGTGGCTAGTCTGGAGTAATGGGCCGGAAACAGAAGGAACGGAAGAGTGGCCAGCTTAGTCCTAGGGCAAAGTCCCGCCTCTTCCAGCAGTGGAAAGTCACAGCGCTCCAAACGAATTAATCCCCTTCTCACTGAGGTCCCCGAAGAGACACCATGACTACTCCCTTCTTCCTACTACATCCACAGAGCCGTGATCCCAGCTAACTTTGCAGGCAATCACAGCACACCACCAGCAGGATGCCCCGGGCTCAGGTGAGAGTGTGGGTGGCTGAGAGCTCCACCTCAGACATTTATGCAACGGGAGCTTATTCTATTTTTTAGGACAAGTTCTCTTCTTGACATCCTGGTAGCCCACAAAGAAGGGCTTTTTATTTTTTTTCCTTCTCAGAGGTTGTTTGGGCTCCTTTGTGCAGACTGGAATGTAAACCCATTTCCCTCGCGGGGAGTGGACAATGCCCCGGCTGCTACAGAACTCAAAAAGGCGCAGGACGGGGAGTAGAAGGCTGCCTGGGACCCCTGTGCTCTAGGCCAGGTCAGGACCAAGCCTGCACCGCATTTCTAAATGGCCCACTTCAGCTTTAAAACGGTGCCTGCATCCTTGGGTTAGATCTGTGGAGGCCGTAACATCTAATCGGGCTGCAAGACAACCATCATGGGGATCTGGCGATGTCTCAGATCAGCAATGAGAAGGTGGACTGAAGGTACTCTAAGACAAGTATGAACACTTCAAACCCTTAGCTCAGTCAGATGTGTCATTCATGCTACTGGTCTAAGGAAATCATCTAACACCTATGCCAGAAAACATTTCCAGTCCCCGGAATTCCTAAAAATCTGGCTACTGCACTGGGACCCTTACATGAACTGCAAAGGGACAAACATTTAAGGACTATTTGACTTCAGCTCCACTGGCTCATGCATTCTGAGGGCTCTTTTTCTTTGCCACTGGCCTGTGATGCTTTGCCATATGGAGTGGGCTTTTCCCAAACAGAGGAACCATTGGCTTTTGCTTCCTGAACACTACTGAAGGGAATCTGCTACCCAATGGAATGTCAAACCCTGAGCATTATTTTTGGTGTAATAAAAGTTTCATAATCTGTATAGCAGGCCTTCCCTGTTCGGCAGCAACGTATTTACAATTACTATTGCTACAATTTTCAATACCGAAAAGGCCCCGTAACCCTGTTGAATAGAGTTTGCAGAAAGCCTGAAAAACAGCTATGAGACGGGGAGCAGCCTGCTCCCTGCCACTCAGCTGTTTTTGCAGCTTTCGCAGGGAACAGAAAATAGGGGGTTAAAGAGACTCAGAGTCCCTTTAACCCCCTGATTTCTGCTCCATCCACAAACTACCACAAATTGCTATGAACTGCTTTAAAAGTTCATGGAAGTTTGTGGCGGTAGACCCAGAGGTCATTTCCTGCAGGAGCGCACAGGAGCGGAGCTTCATCAGTAAAGAGCCCAGGGGGCGGGCACATGCAACAAGCCCCACCCCCTGCTCCCAGCAGCCCTCAGTCAGAGCAAGAAGCAGCCAGGTAAGTTGCAGAGGTCCCCCCGGCCCCCCGGTCCAAAACAGTCCAGTGGCACCTTTAAGACCAAGTTTTATGCAGGCACAAGCTCTCCCTCCTCTGCAAAGACAGATCTGCAAGTTGCTCCCCCCCCCTCCAATACCTAGCAATCCAAAACAGTCCAGTGGAGCCTGAGCAGTGGGTGTTGCCTTCTGACACACTTCCAGTGACATCAGGGGGTGTGGCATATGCAAATAAGTTATGCTAATGAGTTATACTAATGAGCTCCTGCACCTCTTTTTCTACGAAATGACCCCTGGGTAGACCCATCATGAACTTCGGTTTGTGAACCACGAACAGGGCAAAATTTGTGATGAATTTTGCTTTGTGGTTCGGTTTATGCTCATCCCTAATCATTAGTGGTTCTATCAAGACAGAAAGTGCCAAAGACAATGTCCTTTTCTTGCGATAAACAAAATCCCGCATGGAACACCAACTGGAAACCCACCCACCCCTGTCCACATTTAATCCTTTTTGCATTGCAGAGCCTGGAACTCCCTGTACATTGTAGCAACAACAAGGTGGCACTTTAAGTCTCAGAGATCTTCAACATGCACCTGAAATTGAGGAGTGTTGAACTTCCGGATCTGGGCTCAACGACAGAGGGTGTGTGTTGAGTTCGCTCCCTCTCCTTCTGATCCATTAAATTTCTTTAGGCTACTTACAATGCCTCAAACTCCCTCCCGTAGAGAGGGGTTTGGCAGGGGACTTTACTAATCATAAACCCAAAAGAGTGGTGACTCTTGGGGTTTAATTCGGCGTCCTGAAGGAAGGAAGTCAACAGGAGCCCTGGCGAGACTTGCAAGTCACGGAGAGCAAAAGAGGAGCCCAAGGATTCCACAGAGTCGGAAGGAATATAACCCTACAACTTTGAAGCAACAGCACAAGCTAAGTATACTTAAATAAAAAGAACTCACCGTATTTTAGTCCCAAAAAAAGGGGGGGGGGACAACTGCCGGAGAAAATCGACCCCTTTGTTTGAGAAAGTGTGGAGAGTAACTAGCAGTATTTCTATATACATGTGGAATTTGGTTTTGAATTTCTGGACCAAAAGGTTTGGTCAAAATGTGCCAGAGGTCTATATTGTCTTAATGGAATTCTTCTTTGCAATCTTCAGTAACAAGAAAATGTATATTCTGTAGCTGTCCTTTGTGTTGATGATACTTTTAATAAAATAAAATTTTAAAGAAATTCAAGATCCAGGGGCTATTCCAATGCCAACATATGCGTATCAGCTTGGGAAAACAAAACAAAATGGGAAAACTTTCTCACCACACATGAAGTTTACCTCTGGTGATTATTTTTTCATTGGGGCAAGGATATTCTCAAAACCCTCTAAAAAACCCTCCAGTCAGAGACATGGATGTAATTTGGAAGCAGTGCCCTATCCTGTTCTACTACCACACCTGGGACAATTGAGTCAGTGCTTACGTGGGTAGGTGCTGTTGCCATTATGGGGCAATTGCTGAAGCTCTCGGTCAGTTCCTGGGCTTTGTGGGAGTGACTGAGTATCCAGACCAGGCGAGTTGGTTCTGGCACTGATATCTCCTTTCAGCCAACTGGACTTTATCTAAGAAGAAGAAATCTGAGTATTAAACACTGGATGTTTTCCTGCAAATTCACACAGGTAGGAATTCTGCATGTGACTCATCATAAAAAAAGGGAATTTCAACACTGATTTATCTGAACCTGTTTGAAGCAGAAGGGCAGTATCTCAGACTGGAATGAGGGGGGTGATATCCAGCACAGTAACAGGAAAAAAATTCTGTAACTCCTGGTCTCCTGGTCTGGAGACTTGTGATGTGGGAGTAACAAGACAGGGTGTGTTAACAAGCACTCAAGGTTGACATGGAGTATAAAAGTAGGAAAGCAAGGATAGGAAGCGCCTGAAAAGGCTTTCTTAAAGACTCAAACGAGCCATTATGAGAATCCTCCTAATGAGCCTAACAAAAATTCCCCATCTTTGTCAGGCTCATTAGGAGGATTTCGTATCTCCAGAGTGGAGCTTCCTTACTATAAATTCCTAATTTGTCCCACAGGCAGTCTATAAGATCCCTGAGACTTCAGTTGATTTCTCTCTCAGGAGGCCAGTGGGCAGGAAGGTCTCAGAACGGCACAGGACTGTATTGGGTCAGCCTACAAGTTGACAAACAAAAGTCCTCACCACAGCATACCATGTTTCATTCTGCTACGTTCTTGGCTAAGTCTCCCCTGAAGGAGATTTGTAAGATAGTCATGTAGGTGTTCACAGGCATTATCTGACAGCAGTCCTTCCCCTTTGGAATGACAGGCTTGTGTAAATAAGGCCTCTCAATCTGCCTCTTCAGGTGATGGTACAGAAAAAGGGAAGAGGCAGCAGGCAGACTGAGGGGAAGGCCTGCTGTCAGATAATGCCTGTGAACACCTACATGACCATCTTACAAATCTCCTTCAGGGCAGACTTAGCCAAGAACGTAGCAGAATGAAACATGGTATGCTGATTTTAATCTTTCTTGCAGGGCAAGGCTCAGAATGTATTGATGGACATTTGCTTGGCCCTTTGGCAACTGGGAGTAGAGTTCCACAAGGTACCATCACAGCCCCCATGTCTACATAAAGCCCCTAGGGGAACACAGCGTTGCCAAAATACAGATGACAGACAGCTCCCGCTCTCTCCTTACCTACCACATCTAGGGAGCAGTAAAAGTACTGAACCAAAGTCTGGGGGCAGTTAAGGACTGGATGTGGTGTGGGTGAATAAACTGAAATTTAACCATATGGGGGTTGGAAATAAAGCTGATGCAGAAATAGGTGTAATGCCTGTTCTGGGCTGGGCATGAACAGAAACGGGTATGCAGTCTGGGGTACACCTGGACGCCCAGAGAATCAGGAGGCAGAAGAAGCAGGCAGGGTTGCCTTCTTCCAACTTGTGCTGGTTTTTCAGTTCCTGCTCTTCCTGCAAATGCCTCATCTACTCATCTATTCAAAGTCATGCATCTCCTACTAACTTTCAGATGAGACTACTGCAACAAAATTTACATGGGGCCTGGAAGCATCAGCCAATTCACAATACAGCAGCTACCGTTCTTACTGGAGCCTGCTGGTAATTCACGTGCAACTGACCAATGGATAAGAAGGTCTCAAAAGCTACCCTGTCTAAATGGTACAGAAGCATGTATTGGGTTGGCCTACATTGTGTTGAACGAGTTGTCAGCTCAGCCTATCACGTTTCATTCTGCTGTTCTCGGCGAAGTGTCCCCTGGAGGAGACGTGTAGGATATCGGCATGGGCACTTGGCAAGTACCACAATCGCAGTGGGCCTTCAAAGAGCTGGGCCTTGAGTGCCCTAAGTGGTTTGGGGCCACAGTGCCTAAAGGAGCACCTCCTCCTGTGGGGTCACCACCCCCTGTCGGAAGCCGGAGCGATGCCACCTCAGGGGCCACGGCCTTTCTCCGATGCTGCCCTCGGACGGCAGGGCTCCCTCCCTGAAGAAGCGAGGCTGCTGGTGCCCTCTCCTCTAGCCTCCTGGAGAGAATCTCTCACTTTCTTGTTCCGGAAGACCGTTGGGCTAACTGGCGGACGAGGGGGCCCCCTGCCCCTCCGTCACGGTCAGTGCTCACCCTGTCCCCTTGTTCTTTGGGGATATTTTAAATGGCTGTGAGCAGCCTTGGGGGCCCAGGTGGCATATGAGAGCCTCTGACACAGAGAATCCCCTAGCCAAACAACGACTGCAAGGAAGACGGTTTTAGGTACAATTCCCTTTAACAGGACCATAGCCTTGGGTGCGGAGCATTTAAGAACCGAGTTCAGGCTCCCCTTGGGAAATCTATGTACTGTGGATCAGCCCCGTGGCCAGGAATTTTGGGGGTGGGGCTAATTAAATTAAAATTTTATTGAATTAACGAAGCAGGGGAGGGAGAGGGAGGGGGGAGGGAGAGTAGTGGCTGCTTACCCAGTGCACTGCTGGCGTGATCAGGTGAGCCGTGGAACAGCCACTAGCAATGCAGGCGCGGCGGGCGGGTAGTGGCTGTTCTCCCTCCCCTGCTCCCCTGATCCATGCTGCCCCAGAGGGATTCCTGGAACAGGAGCCACTTCAGGCTGGCCCCGCGTGGACAGGTACTTCTCAAGGGGGAACCGCGCCATGCACCCAGGTCCCCCCCCCCCGCACGGAAGGAGGGACAGAAGGGCTGGCGTGGTGGCGGCCCAAGGCGGTATGGCTTAACACGTGTGCTTGCGGGGGGGGGGGGGGGAGGCAGCGGCGGGGGTGTGTGTTAGGAGATGTGATAGGGGGCACTGCCCCCAATGTCCCACCAATGGCTTTAGCCCTGCTGTGGACGAAATTGGAAGAGGCCCCTTTCAAAAACCTCCAGATGCAAAGATGAGGGGGAAGGCGCTCTGTTTTGGATCCCTCAACAGACAGTAATTAACAGCATTCATTTATGAATTCCTTTCGGGTATGTTGTAGGTACGTAGGGCTCTCTTTCGGCTCTGCTCCTGCAGAGTGCAGGGGGTTGGACTAGATGACCTGCAAGGCCCCTTCCAACTCTAACATTCTATGATCTAGAAACTCATATAAACTCCTTGGGTCCATGGTTTCCCCCCCTTCTGAGTGATATACAGTGAACGTTCCATGTATTGGTATTTGGAACATTTGCCTCGTAACATGGGTCTTCTATTATTTGTTGCTCTAGTTGTAGGTGTAATATTACCCTGACTGCTTAATTATTCCCATCAATAAAGTTCTCTCTGATTTTGCGATATTCAGTGTCTCAGTACTTCTGCCAAACCTGTGCTGTAGGAGCCTTGTCTCCTGGTCAGGTGAGCGCTTGGCTGTTACGGGAGTCGCTCTGAGGCATCGCCGCCTCTTGCAGAGCCTAAGCCGGCAGCTCCAGGAGTGAGGGGTGGGGACGGGACGGCCTCCTTCCTTATGCTTAGGCTGCCCTAGAATGGTTTGGGGCTGAACTGGGGAGTGGTCTCCATTCACCCAGGCACCTATGTGGACAGGGCCGTGGCTCAGTGGCAGGGCGTCTGCTTGGCATGCAAGGAATCCTGGGAGTCATCGTTGGCCTCTCCAGGGATGGGTGAGGCGGAGGGCCTTGACCTGAGACGCTGGAGAACCTCTGCCAGTCAGAGTAGGCAAGTCCGGCCTTGAGGGACCAAAAGTCTCTAGAGACACGAGGTTCCCCCCCCCCCTGACATTTTTAAAAAACATCTGTTTTTCCCATTCTTCCAGAGGGCTTTTCTCCCTGTTTTTCTGATGGGAAATTGTGGGGTGAACTGAAAAAAAAATTCCAATGAAATATCTTTTTCTCTTTTGGATCCACAGTAATGTTTATTTAAAACACTATGCGTAACTCACTCAAAATGTATAGCTGGAAAAATATACTGTACCACAGCCTACAACATTAATTAATGATTTTTTTCTGTGCATACTGTAGACATATCTCTCCTTATTAATAAAAGCGATTTGGGGTGGCAAAGTTCCATTCACACCAAAATCAGTTGGCCACCTGAACTGCCATTCCAAAGGCGCTGCCTGCATTGGGTGGCTGCGTTGCAGGGTCCCACCTACACAAGCCCCGGCCACCAGCTTGCCCTCAGTATGCATGGAGCCGCTGGACGGAATGCGCGGTCCAGCGGCTGGACGCTTGGCCAAGCCCCTTCCTCCCACCCCCGCGCCAGTCGTCATCACCCTTGGCTGACTCGGCCCCCAGCCTGCAAGTGGATGGGGGCTGGCGTACTGCTGGGACGAAAAGCCGTCGAGGCGGCCCAGAGGCCACTGGACGCAGCAGGTCCTAGTGGTATGGGAGGGCAGAGAGAGGGTGGGATGGGCCTCACTTTTCTCTGACACGACGGGTGCCCCGGCCCCTTCACCGCCCGTGAGGTCGTTGGCCCAAGCCTGCTCCTGCTGCCACTGGTGCAGCTGTCGTGGGCTGCCAAGGCCCGAGCCACGTCGGCGACCAGGCTGCAAGCGGGCAGGGGCTGGTGCTCCGCCTGGTTGAAGACCCGTTAAGCCGGTCCGGAGGCCACCACATGCAGCACAGCTCCGGGGTCTGGGGGGGGGAGCGGGCAGAAGGGCCTCACTTCGATCCAATGTGACGAGTGACCCGGCCCCTTCACCAGCCACGGGCAGTGTTCCCTCTAAGCTGAGTTAGTGTGAGCTAGCTCACAGTTTTTTAGCCTCCGGCTCACACATTTTTGTCTTAGCTCAGGAAGGATGATTCCAGAGCAAACTACGTTATTCAGTAGCCAATTCACCTGCTCACAACTTTAATGCCGGTAGCTCACAAAGTAGAATTTTTGCTCACAGGACTCCACATCTTAGAGGGAACACTGGCCACGGGTTTGTCGGGATGAGCCCGGACCTGCTGCCACAGCAACTGTACTAGCCCACCAAGGTACACTGGTGGACAGCCTGCACATGGAAGGGGGCTGGCATGCTGCTGGGGTGCACGGCCATTGAGGTGGCCCAGAGTACCCTGGCCGCGGCTGCCCAGGAAGCCAGTCACCGCCCACCGATCCCGGGGTCTGCGGGGAGGGAGAGAAGGCGCAGGATGGGCCCCCCCTGTCTTTCTAGCGTTTGTTGTCTTCTCCCTACAACGGGATTTCCTCCTAGTGTAACATATACTCAGCATATACATTGACAGTGAATAATCTGGGAGTTACAGAAAGCCTTCAGAGGTTACCTTGCTGCTGTCTTGATCAGAGTTCCCACTATCACCATCTGATTTTCTCAGGGCTGCAAGAGAAAAAGAACGTCTAAAATCCAGCGTAATATATTTATCACACACACACACACACACACACACACGGGGCTGCCGAATGCCACCTCTGGCAGAAAGGGATGGCACGAATATGCCAGGTGTGCACACCACAGCAGCCTCTCTTTTGTAAAAAGCAGCAGGAAGCTTGTGTGATCAGCTCCAGCCTCACAAGGAGATTTTTGCTGACCACCATAGTACAGTAAAGGCAGGACATATGTAATTTTGCACCAGAAACGAGCCCTGGTGCACAGGACATATTTGTGCCAAGACTTGTAACAGGTGACTCCTAGTTGCTGCTCCTTCCTCAGGCAGTTGTTCAATTATTACTGTTCAATCACTGTTCACAGTAGCCAGTTAGCTGAGGATGGGTGACATTTTAGAACCGATTACGAATACGAAACATAAACGAAAAATTGTGTCGTGTTTCCCACTTCCTCAGGGGTGAAGGCCACTTCCTTAAATAAGTACAGTTATTGTATACAGATGTGGCCGGTACCCCCAAGACTCAACGAGACCACTCAGTGGGGCCTGCCTCCTAGGTGGATGGGGTTTCAGGTGCTCTGATTCACTACAGTTCTATCACCTTGGCCAAGGAATCCATCCAAGGACCAAAAAGCCTTCAGTTTAAGCCATACGCAAACCCACCCAAATACTCCGCAAGCATCAAGATCATAAATTTAAGCCATGGCTCAAATTCTGCCCCATGTCAGCTGTATACATGTTTGTTGGGCAGTCTCACCTATTATAGTGATGTGTTATTTTTGTACTTCATTCCTGACCCATTTTTCTCCCAGTGGGGACACAATGTCACTTATGTCATTGCCCTCTCCTCCAGTTTATATTCTTTTTTTAAAAAAAATCCCCGGAGGGATATTTTTTATTTTGCAAAGACTACAAAAACTACAAAGAAATATTAGGAAAGGGACTACAACTAAGGCTAAAGGAAAGCAAACCACACTGAACTAAAACCCCAAGAGGAGGAGATCTTTTCACTGTTAGTAAAAATGTTAGTACCATAAGTGTTAATGTCACAATATACTTGTAGAGTTCTTGCTTATAACAATTCACTATTTATATGTTATTTTATTAGTTGTTATGAGAGAAATCTCTGATCATCTTATTCTTCGCTTCAAAAGGCCATTTTCCAAGTCCTTCTGCCTTTACTTCGGCTTTCTGTCTCTAAAATCGTATACCACTCTGGCAGGTCCTGCACCCTTTTCTGCCGCAGAGTCCTCTTCTGTTCCAGAGGTAGCAGAGTCACTAGACTTCGTTTCTTCCTCTTTGGACTCTTCCCCTGTCCCCAGCTGACGTCTCAAAAATTCTTTAGCTTTAAAAGTGGAGTCTACTTTCTCTCTTCTATCATTGATCTTAAAGATGACACCCTCCTCATAACCACCCCGTGATGTAGATTAGGCCGAGAGTGCGTGACTGCCCCACAGTCCTGGAGCCAGCTCCCATGGCAGAGTGGGGAACAGCGGTCTCCTGGATCGTATTCTGACACTCTGACCACTACACCACACTGCCCTGGGCGGTCAGCTCCACACGGGGCTCCAGGAGAAGGACAGCCAGTACAGTATTTCCCCCGAAGCACTTGCTACATCCCCCCCCCCACAACAAACACACTCTCTCTATAGACACCGAACAGTCAGTGAATGCAGAATTCTGAAGGGCAGCCCAAATTTTCACAGTAGGGCTCTCCACACATCCCATCAGTATGAGAAACGCATAGCAGGCACAGAACACATGTACATACACCTTTTATGCATTCCATTTTACAGCAGGGGAACACCGAGGACCAGGGAAATGAAGGCAGACAAAGACAACTCCTTGAACATAATCAATCCCATTTTACAGGTGGAAAACATAAGAACACAAGAGAAGCTAATGTTGGGTCAGGCCAATGGCCCATCCAGTCCAACACTCTGTCACACAGTGGCCAAAAATACCAGGTGCCATCAGGAGGTCCAGCAGTGGGGCCAGAACTCCAGAAGACCTCCCACTGTTACCCCCCCCCCCAAGCACCAAGAATACAGAGCATCACTTGCCCCAGACCGAGAGTTCCTATCTATACCTTGTGGCTAATAGCCACTGATGGATCCTTAAATACAAAAAGAACTATATTCTGCTCTGCAGGTGTTCAACCCGGATATTGAGCTAAAGGTAGATAAATGCCTTTGGATGTGGCTCAATGAACTGGTAGGATGAGATAGAAATACCAACATATCATCGGCGAAAAGTAAAACCTTAAGGTTTGTTTCGTGCATCTTGATTCCACTAATATTGGTGTCGTTCCTAATCATGCTTGCAAGAGGCTCAATGCAGAGCCAATAGAAGCGGTGAGAGGGGGGCAACCTTGTCTAGTGCCCCTCTTCAATTGAAAGGAGTCTGAGACGTGATGGTTAATTTTTAGATGTGCTTTAGGACTTGCATAGATCGCTTGGATTGCTGCCATAAATTTTTCCCCAAATCCCATTTTCTGTAATAGTGTCTTAAGGTACAAAGTTTCAACCGAATCAAAAGCCTTTTCAAGGTCTAATGACAGAAAGGCAGCAGGTATTTTTTGAGTATTACAATAATTTATGATTGTGAGGGCTTTGTGGATGTTTTCCGTGATGTCTCGTTGTGGCATAAAGCCTATTTGATCCTGATTGATATATTCTGTAACAAAAGTATTGAGCCTATTTGCAAGGATTGCAGTAAATATTTTGAAGTCAGTGTTTAGGAGCAATATTGGTTTGTACAACACAGGAAGCATTGGATCCTTATCCTGTTTTGGTATTACTATGATGGAGGCATTATTCCACGAGGGTGGAGGATTCCCTGAATTAGCCACAAGGTATAGATAGGGACTCTGGGGCAAGTGATGCTCTGTCTTCTTGGTGCTTGGGGGGGGTCAACAGTGGGAGGGCTTCTAATGTCCTGGCCCCACTGGTGGACCTCCTGATGGCACCTGGTATTTCTGGCCACTGTGTGATACAGAGTGTTGGACTGGATGGGCCTTTGGCCTGATCCAACATTGGCGTCTCTTATGTTCTTATGAACTAAGTATATGATTGCAGGCTTCTGATAAGGGTGTGGCTAACAGCATTGCAAAATGCTTATAGAATTCTGGTGTGTAGCCATCGGGCCCGGGAGCTTTAGCTGTTTTGATTTTTTTAATCGCATTTAGAATCTCCTGTGTGTTAATTGGTTTGTCCATTAGTTGTTTATGTTCTTCTGATAGGGTGTGGAGTATGGGATGAGTCTGGAAGAATCTTTCTAAGTCAGATGGATCAGTATTGTTGGAGCTATAAAGTTTTTTGTAAAAATTTAAAAAGATTTGTGAGATATTTTTAGAGTCATAATAAATTTTATTCTGGGAACCTTTCATAGCTGTCATTATATGGGCTTGTTGCTGCTGCTTTACTCTCTTGGATAAGAATTTTAGGGATCTCGGTGTGAAAGCCCACCCTCTCTGTTTTGAGTACAGGATATTTTTTTTGAATTTGAGTCATTTCCATTAGTTCCATTTTTCCCCTTTCTGTTAACAGCTGTTTGTATATTTTGGGGGCACCTGACTGTTTATGTTGTTGTTCCAATGATGCAATACTTTTCTGGATGTCTAATCTTGTTTTTTTTCCTGCTTTTTTAAATAAAGGATGCTACTGAGAATAACTAGCCCCTGAGTGCTGCTTTTAAGGCATCCCAGCGGAGTTCTGGACTTACACATCCTACAGGATTGTCTAAGAAATAATTCCGAATATTTTGCTCCATTGTTTGTGTTATTGTTCCATTTAATAATAAAGAACTATTTAAAGTCCACAACGGTGGTGGTCATCTTTCATTATTGATATCAATGTTGCAGTTCACCCAGCAGTGATCAGACCAGAGCTGAGTACCAATGTCCGAAGATTGAACATGGTTGGCCAACTCAGGAGTTATTAGAATATAGTCTATGCATGTGTATGTACAGTGACGCGTAGAATAAAAAGTGTAATCCCTTTCCATTGGGTGCCTTTGCCTCCAAATATCTATTAGGTTAAATGAAGAGAGAATATCAGCAAGTTTGGTTGTTGTTTTTTTGCCTCTATTGTGTAGGGCTGATTTATCTTTTGAGTAATCTACTATAAGATTTAGATCACCCCCTATAATAATCTCCCCTTCATGAAACTCATCAAGCTTTTGTAAAGATTGCTCAATGAAGGAAACTTGTTCTACATTAGGGGGATATATTGATGCCAGAGTGATTGGTATTTCATTTACTGTACCTTTTATAAAGACAAATCTCCCCTGAGGGTCTGACAAGGATGCCTGGTGTACATATCTGAGATTTTTTGAGATTAGAATAGCAGTGCCTCTTGATTTGGAAGAGCCTTTAGCCAAAAATTGCTGTTGAATTTTTGTTGTTGTTGTTGTACAGAGGGGCTGTGTCATCTTTAATGTGGGTCTCTTGTTGGAAAATAATGTCAGGATTAAGTTTTGAAATTTGACTCTGAATTCTCTTACATTTAATGACGTTGTTCAGACCCCTCATGTTGTACAAAAACACCTTTA